GGCCTGAAGTGAATGACCGAAAACAGCTGTTTGCCAACACGACTTTTCAATCCTCTACTTGAACCCGGTGTCAAGACAGAGTCAAGAAGACCGTAGGTGGGAGAGGGCGCAGGCCTTTGGTGTGAGAGAAGTCACCCCTAAGCGTGCTGCTACACCTGGCTCGTATCCCAGCTCATTGGGGCTGCCATAAAGAAGTAGCCATTGCGGCCTGACCATCAGTCTGCTGGTCAACCACTCCACATAAATACGCACTGGTCTGACTGCACGGTCTGGGTCATCCTGTAAGTTGGCAATCTTGCAAGCCGCTATGGGACACGCGGACCTTACGCAGTCCGGTTACACGTGCCACGCCCACACCCGCGCTTCGATTCTATTCAAGCGCAACTCCCGCATGATTCATTTAAACGGCCAGACATAAAACGTCACAAAAAACGACACATTCAAACAATTTGTTTGACTCTATTGTTATACTGAAGTCATTTAGACAAGGTCGGGTACCTTTTCTTTTAAAATGTATCACGCTTGTGCACAGGATTTAGAAATTGATAAACCTAGTAATTATAAAAATAACAGATAAATAGTCTAAACCCTCTTCTTAGTTTTCTCTATAATAAAATAAACTTCCTGAGCATTTCTTAAGATGAATTCCATGGAAAAACCTCCATAGATTTAGGCATTTTGCAAAGCCTTTCTAATGTTTTTTAACACCAAACCTCAATCTTAGACTGTTCGTGTTCCTTTAAGTCACATTAACAACGCGCTCTACAATTTACCGTTGAAATGGCACGCGCGAATGTCAGTGTTGCGAAGTATTCATTGTAATTTGACGGACGTAGTCCGCAGTAACAAGCGCGAACGAGTAAAGGAAATTGCAAGTCACAGGAAATGGGGCGAATGATTCCTGCGATGTCCCTGTTCCTTATCTGATATTTCGCATAAGCGGTTATACCCGTGATAATAACCGAAAAATGCGATTCTACACAAACATCACGTGCATGATCATGTTTGCTAGTTGACGCCCCGTATGCCATTTGTTATGTACAGGGTATTCAAAACACACAGTGTTTGGTCATGTTAGCCATAATACCCAAATCCCAAGTAATAAGGCGTCGGAAATAATTTACAGGATTACTCAGGCATGGTTGGCATTCTCTAGTGGATCTTCTCATAAACCAACTGACGTGTATTTCACGTGGCTAAATGAAGCTCTACAGAGAAAACCTGGCAATACTTTCAATCGAACATCTTCGTGGCAGTTATAGAAAATAATGATTGGATGTTTAATATCTCTTATGAGGCCGAAATGAGCGGCTAACCCATTCTTATAGTATTATAGGGAAAATGAAGTCGGAGCCATATAAAATGAATGACTATTTTCCAGCACAAATAAAGTTTTAATTAACAAAATCAAAATGAATTTGAGTACGAAGAAAATTACACGAAAAATTGGCCACTACAGGACCAACATAATACTACCAGGGTATACAATTTGCCCAGCGAGTCTGCACAGCAAACAGTGTCTGCAGAAGTCACATAGTCCAAGGGTCTTATGGGATCTTAATTATTCTGAATGTAAATTTACATCGCCTAATTCTGCGAATACGCAAACCAAATAAATTATGGATTTCGGCCAGGCTAAAGAACCAAAATATAACCGGCAGCAACCTAAGTGGTAGTTGAGGAGGGAGAGGCACAGGGGATGGCAAAATGGCAAAGGCACGCAATCGACCATTAGACGCTGACAGCTGCTCAAAAGGACGAGATGACATGAGCTTAGCTTTGGCTGCGGCCGCCTGCCGACCCAATGGTCGACAGTTAATTGGTCGACATACTCATTGGCCCAGAATTGTCGACACACCTTAGAGATGATTGGCCGAACACATTTGCAAGCTAACGGCGTCCTAAGTCTTGCTAACATGTCGCGAAGGTCGGATGCCGAAGCTTTCTGAAAGATGCTTTATTTTTACGCGCGATCACGCCCTCTTTAAGCGTATGCCCGTGTATGGGCGTTGACGGTGTGCGCGCGTCAGGAACTCTCAACTTACATCGACCTCAAAACTGAAAGAAGACAAACAAGCGCAACTAAGCTGACAGTCTTATAAAGTCTATATTAGTTATGGTTAGCAGTAATATTTGATTGTTCAGACTATGAGACAATCAACCAACACAGCTGAGGACGAAAGTCCTGCGACAGACTCGAACCACCGAATTATCGAGTCCGCGTCGAGTACGCCGTCATGTGAGCTACTAACAGTTGTTCACCGGCTGTACAAACTCGGATTTCCACAAGTTGCATTGTCGACCATTATTTGTCATAGGTAGAAATGTGAAACCAGCAGTATGAGCATTTCGAAACTTACTTCCGGGCCAAAGTAACCGCCACACCGAATACACGTGCGTCGGTTACAGTGAGCGCAATTGTGGCCGGCGTTGTCAGCGAACTTGGTTGTCCGACAGACTTCACAGCAATCCCCATCATGACCGTCATGACCGAAGAAGCCAGTGATGGTGCCCAGAAGGTCTCCTGATATCTTTGAGTGACGGGGAAATGCTGATGAGGTTTCATGTGAAGGTCGCCGACTTCGAGTTAGGCCACCGAAAAATTCGTCTTTGCAACGCAACGGAGTTGGCGTGTCCTCTGGAGTGGACGTGGGTTGCCGTTTCGAGTTAGGAGCGACCGCAAACTGCGAGATGCCTCCAGTGGGCTTGTTCGTTTGGAGAGCCGCTTTTTGAGGATTGGCGGGCAGACGCTGGAACACTTGTGACCCACGGCGGACCATGGTACACGGAGGAGGAGCCAGATTCCGTGATCTTTGAAAGTACAAAAAGAGGGAGCTGCGGATCGAGTGGTCAAATTTTTATAAAATGTGTGAAAAATGTTTCTCAATAAGATGGCTAACATTCATGATCCCTTCCTTAAAGTTATCCCTTAACAGGAATTCTGTTCTCAAAGGTTTACAACACAGTAAGAGAGAGCAGTCCCAAGAGTAGGTCAGTGTCACCGGGATGTACATCCTAAGCTGCTTTATGCACCTTAAGACCGTGATGCACTTATGCCTATCTTTCAAAGCATTCATTTCAAATCCACATACGGATAAGGATTGACGTCTATTAACCACGGATTTAACGTTAAGTGCTTGATTGCAAATGCAGCAAACCCAATAGAATCACACTTCCTTGCTCTTTGGCTTCCATCAGCTCCTCCCGTTTCGGCAACTACAGTGTTAGGCTGGAAGATCATCAACAATTCTTACGGCGGATTAGACTTCCTTCAAACGATACGCAGAGATAATCGGTGAGAAAACTGATAAATGTTACAGTCAACCATGCTTTACCCTGAAAGTTTTGCCTTTGTCACAGATGGAAGCGAGCCAGCATAAACTACGTGATACTTATATTGCGAACATGACCTGAATTTTGGATGTACACATCAAGCCTTTTCGGGACTGGTGATTACTCGGAACATTTTAAAAACCAATTCATGGGATCTTAATGCGAATAAAATATTTCAAAAGGCGCATGCTAGAAGCAATACATTTTCGGGGTGGTACTTCGCTGGTTTTGAGAAACAAAAACAAAGCTCAACTAATGTAAAACAATTGCGGTATTAGGCTTTAAGCATAGGTATTGCACTCACCAATAAATAACAACAAATACTTCACTACCGTCTACTTGGAGGCAGGTTTGCTTTAGGGAACCAAACAGATCAGTGTTCATATACTGCTGAGAAAACTTCTATCACAGTCAAAGGTATCAGCCGCTTCTCCGTAAATATATTGAATTTAAAACCTTGCAAAATGACTATTGAATCTTCCTACCGCTAATACTGCGTAGTTGCAAGGTCCACGAATTTCAGTGCATATTTACTCAAAGATTACGCATGTAATCCAATATCCCGTCAATAAGTATAGGCCTGCTCCGCTCAGAGGTCAGTTGATGGTGCACTTGTTCAAATCTTTGCAAAAATACATCCTTCCTATTCACTTTTTCATTACGGGTAACCTCTCACTATTAAAATTTTTTAGCCACGATTTGGCTGCCCGTATGATACCCCTCATATGGAGTTTTAAAATAAAAGGAAAATTTTATTTTCCTTCTTACAGTTAAGGTGGAGCCAGTAAATTGTCAATGGCCGCAGGTGGAGCCTGAACACGGTAGTTAAATAATCTAGTCGAGTCTTAGTCATGCAGCCGCGGTTGCTTACAAACAGTAAGTCATAAACGGGTATTCCAGTGTTTGCGTCCTTTTCATTAAAATTAGGCAATTTTCTAATTCCTGTTTCTTTGAAGCGGTATGGGCACGCCCATCACTGCTTGGAAACGAAATCCGCTAGCTATCAACTATTTGATAAACGTTTACTTATAATTACAATAGGTTATAGAAAGGACGAGTAGAAATCACACATATTACAACCATCGGCAGAACAAGGGAATAAGAAGCACACCCAAACATAGATAGCCTTAAGTTAGGTTTTGGAAAAATTAAGTATTCCAGTGTCCTAGCCTTAATAAATTCGTATCCATACCTAGATTGCGACCCTATTACTGCTCTTAAACCAAACCTGAAATGTAACTCCATTGTTAATACAACCCTAACTTTAACCAAAACCACGAGTTCCGTCGAAATTAGCTCACAGCCACCTGCATTACGGGGATTCCTGTTCCTGTTACCTAACAGGGGGAGACATACAAACATTCCCTACCAAACGAAACTGGTGTAATTAGGCTTCAGCTATTAGAAGCTCCAAAATGAAGCTTGACAGCGTGTTTTCAATCAAATTTAAGTCATCTGACCAAAAGAAATAAGCATAATGCAGAAGAAGAAGTATCGACAACAATTAGAGTACGTCCCCTTCTCCGTGATTACTCGTCATTCTGCGATTACCTGCGACGACTCTAGATCGAGTCCTAAGACGCAACAGAACAAGCTTGTGGAGTACCTTAATCAGTGAACGCACGTTTATTATTCGAAAAAAAGGGTCGGGATCGGTTATATGCCCTCTGACCGCACAGGGGAGTATACACTTTGAGTAAGACGTTACTTCAAGCTAAATCCCAGGAAAAATAAGCTAAGGATTAATCATAAGATCGCTGTGAAGGTTGGATTCCATAGCATAGTTAGGGTTAATGGTAGAGTTGGGTTTAGGGTCAGAGTTACGGTTCAGATTTGAGTAAATGTTGGCGTTATTTCTAGGAAACGGAATGAAGTTATCTTTCTGGAAGAGAGGGCACAGATGTAAGCAGTACAAATATATAAAGATGCAGTAGAAGTTCATTAACCATTGTCAAAAATTTCAATATTACACGTTGAACTTTCAGCAGAAACACAAAGAAAGTTTGAAAGATGCACTCTAAAGAGGAACAATTCGCACCCGTCTTGGTCTTAGGTTTTACTGGCGTCTGAATTACGGTGACCCAACAGTCCATGTATCTTTTACTTCCACACGATGGTGGCAAACATTTTTATCTTGATAAAATCAATGATGCAATCTATATTTAACCGTTTATCATTCTTAAATGATTTTGGCACAGATAACACATGTTTTGAGCATGCTTTATTCAGTCGGTCTTAGTGATTCTCCAAAAACATGCTTTGCATCATAGCCATATGCAGAGATCTTGCGTTCTCTCGAGGTATGTGTGGTAAGCAATGCGAAAATATTTTTATTCTATATTATAATAATGCCATGACTCTAAATGTTGAAATTTGACAATGCGGAGCTCAGTTGCCATATGTTTATTTTACACCATCCGGTGGTTAGGATTAGATCTCGTGCATTTTATCTGTTGAAAAAATAATAGCATAAAACATGTTAACAGTTACTGAGCTATGACCCTTGCTGTTAAACATTGGCCTTCTGTGAAATTCAATCTGCTGTACGGTTCTAACTGTTAGCTGATTCATGCAACGACAGGATGAAGTTGAAAAGCCGTCGCGAAATTTGTTCAATTCAATAAATCCTGCTGTTTACCCTTTTTAATGTAGGCAGGAAACAAAATATGTTTCATTTGTCTGCTAGAACTTTAACTATAGTTTAGCATACACGGGCTATACCAGAAACCCAAATTCAGGATATACACCGCTGTGAACTGAGATGTGGTCTACATACCGTTAAATTCATTGGAGATGCTTCGTATACCCCAACGTATCACAACAAGGATCGGCCATGACACGTTAGTTAATCTGCACCTCTCATTTGGTCTTGCTGAGTATTTGTGAAGCTGCAGAGGTTGCTTTAACGAGGTGTCACTTCTAAATCTTTTTCCGGAGGAGATTTAAAATCATTTTTGGTCGCGGGATTATCTGCATAAAGGGCAATCCTATATTCAAAAAACGTCACAGACGGGTCCTTCTTGATTAAGGCATTTATCACGGTTTTGAAAAATATTCCAAACAAAATATGACCCATAGCTTTCAGCAGATGTGCTTTTTCGCAAAGTGTTAACAAGTTCAAGCTCTTACCACCTATAATGCAGGGTTTATTTTCCCATGAACATTTTCTGCCCAATCTAGAATTGAAATTGTTGTGCTAAACTATGTGGAAAGGGATTAAAATATGGAGCCACATAATGGCGTTGGATAACACTCGTATTTATTGCAGAGTACAGTCAGACGCAGACGTGCAAATGCTAACCGATGGATGAAAGTATGTTATACAGTTTATAGAGTTGTTTAGAGGGTTGCCGACTGATAACTCCGACCGCGCGGTCAGTCCAGTGTGTGTCCTCTTGTGTGGAGTGGCTGCAATCGAAGTCACAGTCGAACTGTCATTGGTTAACGGTCCCTATTTGGGAGACTGCACTGTCTCTTAAAAGAAGTTTAATGTGCATAGACAGTCGACAAATGCAAATGTGCTGTTGCTTAGGGTTAACAAGGACAAGGCTGGAATTCTCAATTTCGGCGTACTAGCGTTCCAACACCCAAATCTTTACAGATAATGCGTAAGACTGCATCCCATCTAGACGCCGTTTTCCTGTTTTTACAGGCTTCTGATGAAAGTAAAAATTTATCAGCACTTTTTGCAACTTAATTGATTTATAACAATCAGAAACATAAAGTATTTTATTACCATTTGAAATTCAAAATAATATTGAGCTTCACTTTCAAAAACATTTTTACAAGTTGAAAATAAAATTGCTCAAATAAACGAGGCAAGGATATGAGTTCAGATTGGATAAAAGAATTACAATGCCAAATCTAGCAGATAGGCGAACATGAGGTGAGTTTCTGATAGTCAAACAGTTAGATAGGAATAATAAAATCGACCTACGTATGATGGAAGAAAATAGATGGCCTTGGTCCGATTCTACAGCATTTTGAAGATGGAGAAAGAATACGCTTTCCTTATGACCTATGGTGTTCTACGGAATCAATCCGACTTACAAATTGGTTTGCGAAGAATAACTCTCATGAGATTTTGACACTCGTTGCTGAACGTTCACCGACCACTAACGGAACTCACTTGTCCCGCTCCGCCTTGGGCCTCCTTTCTCAGATCCTGACACCAGCCGTAGCGGTTAGTAGTACTATTATCGTCAAAGACAAGGGAACTCGAATGGCCATTTCTGGCTTATTATCCGTCGTCAGCCATTCATACCTAGCCCAAGGCGGAGCGCTACCCAGGGCTCGAACTTGCGGTTTTTTTTATCAGATCTAATGCCTTAACCATTGAGCCATGAGGTCATTGTCTTGCCGGTTTAATTCGGGAGATACTGACACTTGTTGATGAACGCTAACCGACTGCTAATGGAATTTGCCATTCCCGTCTCCCTTATCTCTG